ATATGAACAATTTTAATTTTCAACTATAAAGTTGGAGGAGAAAAAGAATAAATTAAGACAAAAAGCCTAACTGTGTGGAAGTGAGACTGGAATTGAAAGGATACAAATAATAGCTCACATATATTGAGAGTTTACTATATGTCAGACAGTATTCTAAGTGTTTAAACTATTAATATTCCCAGATAAGGAAACTGAGGCAAAGAAAGGTGAAGTAACTTTCAGCTAATGAGTGATAGACTGGGATGTCAAATTCAGGCAGTGTAGTTTCACAGTGTATGCTCTTGGCTATTATGTTTACATCCTCAATAAATGAGCTATTTGAAGAAATAAATAATAGAAATTCAGAAACACATAACTGGGGGCACAGAGAATGTTAAGAATCAATCATTAATTTTGAGCCTGAGTGAATGGGTGATGCTGTTATTAAAAACTGGGGCTTAACCGTATGTTAAATGGAAATTGTTGTATCTGTACTTTCTGCTTTGCATGATTGTAAGCTCAAAGGAGATGAAGGGCTGCATTGCATACTAGAGGTGACATCCAGATAAGCTAGAGCCTCATGGCTCTCTGCTGAGAATATCTACCAGAGACAAGGATATCACTCTCTGGAACCCCTCGCAATGAACCCCAATCTTTAGAGTACAATAAAGCAGGCATTTCTTCAGCTGTCTCAGTTCCAAAGAACCTGTGGAATACCAGTAATAGAAAAAAAGTATACCCAGGTTGCATACCAAGGTTGGGTTCTATACAAACTCTAATACAGTATATGTTTACAAGAAAAGAGGTCCCCTTCCTAGTCCAAGGTGTCTAAATCTCACTTCTAAGCTGGAGATGATTGGGGATGAGAAGTCTTCAAGGAGAGGGTACAAACTGATGACTGAAAAGCTATTTCTGACCCATAGGCAGGTTTCTTTGAATCTATGGTGTTATAAAATTTGTTTAATTACATTCCAACATTCAAAATCTAGGATGTTTCACATAAAAATCATGATTCTTGGGCTTCCCTGGTATTTTCTTCAGCTGGTTTCATGAAAGCTACTGTAGAGTAGAAACAAGACATAGGGGTAAAAGCCATGAATGGAACCTGTGCCCATGAGTATAAATAGATCAACCTTTGTTTCAAGAATTTCTTCTCTTCCTGTCTCTCAGAGACTCTGTGTGTGTGTGTGTGTGTGTGTGTCTGTGTGTGTGTGTCTGTGTGTGTTGGGGGTAGAGTGGAGGTGGGCAGACCTGTATGGATTCTTCGGTGGGCTTTCAGGTGAGAGCTTTTGGTGTACACTTTGCTGCATCCTGCAAAGTCACACTGGTGAATCCGTCTTCTCTTCAAGTCAAGGGACTCTTCTCCCTGCATTTGGCTCATTGCTGCTGACCTGAGCAAAGAAAGAGAGATAAGGTCAAATAGTGATTTTAAAGTGGAGGCTAAATAAATGGATTTACATATAATGGGATCACCTCATACATGCATTTAATTTATGCAAATTTAATACCAGCCCCGCCCCCCAATAATTGAAATAGCTCAAGCAATTCCCTCAACTAAGCCATTCTGCTCAGTAAATGCAGGTCCCAGAAGGTGGTAATGTTTCTTTGGGTAGTTTCTGTTCCCAAGCAGTATGAGCATTTCACTCTAATAAGCTTCATTCTTAGGTTTAAAGAAACGTATTTTTCATCCAACATGGTTGCTAAAACACAAGCCAATGATAAGGTTGCTTTAAACTTACAGAGAGAAACAGAATGCAACTGTACTTTATAGGAAATTTGTATATTTTCCAAGGGTAAAAATTGATGATCTACAATTAAAACATTACTGTGTATAACATCCATGTCCATGCACATGTGTGCATACAAGCTCATACCTTCGCTGAAAAGGCAGTTTACCTATTTTTTTTGTCCTCGAATTCTTACTATTGTGTCTGAGAACTTGTTCCACTTTTACCACAGACACACACATATATACACAGAGACAGACCTGAAGTAAAGATAAAAGTACTTACTGTTGTACCTGAATACCCTGTAAGGCTGAGGATCCACTCTCAATTGCACTCTCCTCACTGTCACTTGGGATCTCCAGTGGAGACATGGAGGTGGGGTCAACTTTAACTAAAAGCAAAGAAAAGGAGCAGTGTGGGCTACACATATATGAGCCTCTAATCATTTTCAGGATTCCCAGTTTGGCCCACAATGAAAAGTAGCAGCAAGATAGAGAAATAAAGAAAAAGCAAAGATGGAAGAAGTATATTTGTATGGAAGGAAGAGAAGAGCATTTAAAATTTTAGCAGAGCAGGATAAAGAAATTCCTTTGAGGGAAGGGTAGTGTGGAACATTGTCACTAGAATGAGCTTCTCTAGGATAGTGAGTAAGATAAGATAGTGGGTTTCTCTAGGATAAGATCTGGGTATGATTCAACTCCCTATCTCGAGGACCCAAGACAGTGTCTATTGAAAAGTCAGGTTCAATTTGTATTTGTTGAATCAAACTCTAAATAGTTCCCTGGTTGTCCTCAGATCAATGACTAGGCTCATGCTAGAGGTGAGAACATCCCCTTTGGCTTTTGTGTTCCTTAATGGAAACGAGGCACTGAGATGAGACACATAATGCATGTCTAGCAGGTGCTTGATACATGTTAATGTCCTTCCCTTCCACCTATGTTGGCAGAAGCCCTTAAATCTTTATTGTCAACCAATGGTGTTTCTGACACCTAACAAAACTCAGTCAGATGGTCAGACATCCAGATCTAGCGAAAGCTTCAAAATTTCTATATAGAAGAAACTTAAGGGTGGCAATAAAGTTGGGGATGGGGAGTATTTGGCTAGAGCAGTCACCTCCATACATTGTGTATCATTCACTAAAACGTTTTAAGCATATATCTGTGTCTGTGTCTCTGCATGCGTATGTGTGTGTTTATGATATAAATGTACTAGCATCCTAAAATTTTGTGTACATTATGAAAAATAAACAAAATATCATATAAAGGGTGAGACAATACAAATAGAAGTTTTGATGCTTTCTTTTTGTGCTCCAAATACTTTGTGCAATACCCCCTTTTCCCCCCACCAAGGGGTAAGCATACCATTTGGAGACCACTGTGCTAATGGTCTTAGCTTGAACCTACATTGAACACTTTAAAATTTATGGTCTTAGCTTGAACCTACATTGAACACTTTAAAATTTATTCCATTTATTTAAAATGGTTCTGATGGGGCTTCCCTGGTGGCGCAGTGGTTGAGAGTCTGCCTGCTGATGCAGGGGACGCGGGTTCATGCCACGGTCCGGGAAGATCCCACATGCCGCAGAGCAGCTGGGCCCGTGAGCCATGGCCGCTGAGCCTGCGCGTCCGGAGTCTGTGTTCTGCAACAGGAGAGGCCACAACAGTGAGGCCCGCATACCGCAAAAAAACCAGAAAAACCAAAAAAAAAATAATAATAAGATGGTTCTGATGGACTGATGGATATTATGATGGGGGGGAATTCAAAGCCCATCAAACCAACCCTTGGTGTTACCACTGCCTTGATATCAGTAAATTCTCACACAAAGAATTTTATTTTCCCATCTCCTGTTTTGTTTGGCTCTCTCCCTATATAATAATTTATAATTGTGTTTTAAATAACCCCCTCAGGGGATCTCAAAAACAAGATTGCTATGAATACTTATCATTACCACAATTAACCACTAATAACAGCATTTTTATTCAAAAGAACACAGCGGAGTCTCAGCAACTTGATGCTTATTATATCACTCTCCTACATTTAGTGATGGAAAGATCACAAGGCATTGAATTTCAAAGGTAGAAAACTCTTAGAAAGTTTTTTTTTTACACTGAGCTGAAATCTGGTTCCTAGTCATTTCCACCCGCATAGCTCCCCTTTGGTCTTTTTAATTCATGCTAAACATTTATCATCTCCTTTCTGACATGGGTTTTAGTCCTCTCACCATCTTAATCTTTCTCCTCTGATTATACTCCAAATACCCAACATCCTTCCTAAAGCTGAACATCCAAAACTGCTTGTAATTCTACAGATGTGGTGAAGGTAAATATCTTGAACCACGTCAAGAAGCCATATAATTTTCTTCCATCATTCTCCATTACAAACTAGATATGTCTCTAGGAGGGGAACTGGGTGGTTGGGGGATAGTGGTGAAAGGGAGATAAACATACCTTTCTGAATTCTGAACTTATTTTAAAAATAAATAAAAGGTAAGATTACAGCATATGAACTCTCTCCTGGAAAAATTTTCAAGTGTGTTCATCACATTATTTGTTACAAGACAACTACTATCTACCACTGTGCTCTCTGGAGATGCACAAAGAAAAATAAGATGGAGTCTTGTCCTCGAGAAATTTACAATTCATTTGGGAAGAATGCCCATACACTTGTGATACAGGCATGTAAAAAAGTAACATGGAAGGTGATAGATGCTAAATGAGGTGGAACACAGGAAAGATGGCAAAATTTCAAAGACTATTTTACCTGTAGGGAAGACAAAAGGTACAGTGCTGGGAGAGGCTGGGAGATAAGGCTGGTTATGTATGTAGGGCTAGAAACATTCTCAACTTTTCTACCAAAGCATTCTTAATGACATGGAAGACTAAACACATCCTCCTGGAAAGTCCCAGTGTAGTTTCTTTAGTAGGTTAGAACTATTTTTGGAGGTCATGTTTTAAAATATTATTCAAATATTATATTTTCTGTTTAATAAAATCATATTTTAAAAATATAAAATGTTTTAAATTACTTACTGTCAAATAATATAGAGGTTCCAGGAAGATACATAGTATTTCACTCAAAGATATGTATATCCCAGTTTGAGAAACATGGGCTAAATGAAAAAGATCCTTTGTACATTTGTAAGCATTGAAGAGACATGATAAAAACAGTATTTATGAAAAATTGCTCTTAAAGTTGTATGCAAGAATAATTGGAAAAGAAATAGGAGGTAGGACATTCAAAAAGAGAATAGATGAAGGAAGGTAAATTCCAGCAAAGGGGCAGATTGATGCTCACCTGATCCAGCATTTTTGCCGTCTCCTCCAATGAGTGGGACTGTAATGGCTGCAGGGCTCCCATCTGCAGGCAAAGTAGTATACACCATGGGCAGTGACTGCACCATCACTGGGATGGCCTTCAGACTACCCATCTTATTTGGCAGATTGACTGAGGGGATGCTGTGAATCACATGTAAGATCTGCTGACCACCAGTGCCCTGAGAGGAGGCCAGGATAGAGCCTGGGGTCAGAACAGTAGGGATGTTTGCTGAAGTGCCTGTGTCTGATGTTGAAGTGGATACTACAAGTGTCTGGGAAGCAGACTGTGGCTTGGGAGGACGTACTGGAGCTTGCAGCATACTGGCAGGCTGAAGAGGAGACTTTGGCTTGTGAAAGGAGAGGTCAACTGGTTCCACCTGGGGCAGGTTGAAATCATTAGCCAGAAGTTCTTCTGGGGGCTCAATCTTGATGTCATTTAACAGTGCTGGGTTCTCCATGGGGTTGGCATCCAGGAGTGGTGGAGATGTCATATTACCTCTGTCTGCTGCCTTAAGGGAATCTCTAATTTTAACAGGGCCAGTGACCTAAAATAAATACATAAACAAATGAGAGGTGAAAACAGTGAGTGTTAGTACCCTGAAGAAGAGAGATGTGAGCAATGAAAGAAAGAAATCTCTATTCTGTTGTCATGGACAGAATATACAGGGAGTTGAGAAAAATGAGGCAAGAGGAAAAAGTAAAACAAGAGTAAAGAGGAAAAAAGAGGGAAACTTTATTGAGTACCAGCATCAGGCACTGTATAAGGCAATTAATACAAATTATTTCATTTAAACTTTACAATAATTCTGCAAGATTAATTAGAATCAACACATCTGAGTATCCACTATTAGTACTGTGTCAAGCCCAGTGAGGGCACAAATGAATAAGGTATAGCCACAAAGTACATACTAACATACCAACTACAATGATAGAATAATATGAGTAGCTTATAAGTCATACCATAATAAGTGATGCAGTAGATATGCAAGCAAGGTATTTTAGAAAAAGAAAAGGGAATGATTCATTCTGTCTAGAAGATCAGGGAAGGTTTCAAAGAGGAAGTAATATTTCAGATGAGTCTTATAGAATTAATAGAAGTTCTGTAAGAAGAGAAAGGGTAAAAAAAAATTTCCATCTACAGAGACATACCAACAGACAATATGCTTAGGTAATAATGATGCAGTACAGTCAGTTGTATTAAATGCAAAATATATCTGTGCAACTTTCAAATTTAAAAATACCAATTAAGGGACTTCCCTGGTGGTCCAGTGGTTAAGACTCTGTGCTTCCAATGCAGGGGGCGCAGGTTTGATTCCTGGTCGGGGAACTAAGATTCCACATGCAGCGTGGCCAAAAAATAAATACTAATTAAGTAATCACTTTATAGGTAATATATAAAATAACATAAAACCTCAACCTAATTACAATTTTTCTGAGTTGAATGAATTCAAAGATCAAGGATATTCCCAATTAAAAAATGGGTAGAAGGGAACAATCATCAACAGGAAGACATTGGAACTCACCAAAAAAGATATCCCACATCCAAAGACAAAGGAGAAGCCCCAGTGAGACAGTAAGAGGGGCAAAATCACAATAAAATCAAATTCAATAGTTGCTTGATGGGTGACTAACAAATCAGAGAACATTTATACCACAGAAGTCCACCCACTGGAATGGAGGTTCTGAGCCCATGTCAGGCTTCCCAACCTGGGGGTCTGGCAAGAGGAGGAGGACTTCCTAGAGAATCAGACTTTGAAGGCTAGTGGGATTTGATTGCAGGACTTTGACAGGACTGGGGGAAAGAGAGACTCCACTCTTGGAGGGTACACACAGGGTGGTGTGTGCGTTGTGACCCAAACGAGGGAGCAGTGATGCCATGGGAGACAGAACCAGACCTGCCTGCTGGTGATAGAGGCAGGGGGTGGCTGTGTCTCACCGTGAGGACAAGTACACTGGCAGCAGAAGTTCTGGGAAATACTCCTTGGTGTGAGCCCTCACAGGGTCCGCCATTAGCCCCAACAAAGAGTCCAGGTAGGCTCCAGTGTTTGGTCATCTCAGGCCAAACAAACAACAGGGAGGGAATCCAGCCCCACCCATCAGCAGACAAGTTGAATAACGTTTTGCTGAGCTCTGCCTACCAGAGCAACAGCCAGCTGTACCCACCACCATTCCCTTCCATCAGGAAATTTGCACAAGCCTCTTAGATAGCCTCACCCACCAGAGAGCAGAGAGTGGAAGCAAAAAGAACTACAGTCCTACAGCCTGTGGAACAAAACCCACATTCACAGAAAGATAGAAAAAATGAAAAGGCAGAGGACTATGTACCAGATGAAGGAACAATATAAAACCCCAGAAAAAACAACTCAATGAAGTAGAGATAGGCAACCTTCCAGAAAAAGAATTCAGAATAATAATAGAGAAGATGATCCAGGACTGTGGAAAAAGAATGGAGGCAAAGACAGACAAGACGCAAGAAATGTTTAACAAAGAACTAGAGGAATTAAAGAACAAACAGAGATGAAAAATGCAATAACTGAAATGGAAAATACACTACAAGGAATCAATAGCAGGATAACTGAGGCAGAAGAACAGATAATTGATGTGGAAGAGAGAATGGTGGAATTCACTGCTGAGGAACAGAATAAAGAAAAAAGAACAAAAAGAAATGAAGACAGCCTAAGAGACCTCTGGGACAATATAAAATGCAACAACATTTGCATTATAGGGATCCCAGAAGGAAAAGAGAGAGAGAAGGACCTGAGAAAATATTTGAAGAGATTATAGTCAAAAACTTCCCTAATGTGGGAAGGAAATAGGCACCCAAGTCCAGGAAGTGCACAGAGTCCCATACAGGATAAACCCAAGGAGAAACAAGCTGAGACACATAGTAATCAAATTGGCAAAAATTAAAGACAAAGAAAAATTATTGAAAGCAGAAAGGGAAAAATGACAAATAACATACAAGGGAACTCCCATAAGGTTAACATACAAGGGAATTCCCATAAGGTTAGGAGCTGATTTCTCAGAGGAAACTCTCCAAGCGAGAGGGAATGGCATGACATATTTAAAGTGATGAAAGGGAAGAACCTACAACCAAGATTATTCTACCTGGCAAGGACCTCATTCAGATTTGATGGAGAAATCAAAAGCCTTACAGACAAGCAAAAACTAAGAGAATTCAGCAACACCAAACCAGCTATACAACAAATGCTAAAGGAACTTCTCTAAGTGGGAAAGACAAGAGAAGAAAAGGATCTATAAAAACAAACCCAAAACAATTAAGAAAATGGTAATAGGAACATACATATCAATAATTACCTTAAACATGAATGGATTAAATGCTCCAACCAAAAGACACAGGCTCGTTGAATGGATACAAAAACAAGACCCATATATATACTGTCTACCAGAGACCCACTTCAGACCTAGCGACACATACAGACTGAAAGTGAGGGGATGGAAAAAGATATTCCATGTAAATATCAACAGACACCTGGAAGCAATTCTCATATCAGACAAAATAGACTTTAAAGTAAAGAATGTTACAAGAGAAAAAGAAGGACACTACATAATCATCAAGGGAGCAATCCAAGAAGATATAACAAATATAAATATATATGCACCCATTATAGGAGCATATCAATACATAAGGCAACTGCTAACAGCTATAAAAGAGGAATCAACAATAACACAATAATAGTGGGTGACTTTAACACCTAACTGACACCAATGGACAGATCACCGAAACAGAAAATTAATAAGGAAACATAAGCTTTAAATGACACATAGACCCACTAGATTTAGTGGATATTAATAGGACATTCCATCCAAAAGCAGCAGATTACATTTTCTTCTCAAGTGCACACAGAACATTCTCCAGGATAGATCACATCTTGGGTTACAAATGAAGCCACAGTAAATTTAAGAAAATTGAAATCATATCAAGCATCTTTTCTAACCACAACGTTATGAGATTAAAATCAGTTACAGGGGAAAAAACATAAAAAACACAAACACATGGAGTCTAAACAATATGCTGCTAAATAACCAAGAGATCACTGAAGAAATCAAATAGGAAATCATAAAATAACTAGAGACAACTGGCAACACAAACACGATGATCCAAAACCTATGGGATGCAGAAAAAGCAGTTCTAAGAGGGAAGATTATAGCAATACAAGCCTACCTCAAGAAACAAGAAAAATCTCAAATAAACAACCTAAACTTAAACCTAAAGCAACTACAGAAAGAAGAACAAACAAAACCCAAAGTTAGCAGAAGGAAAGAAATCATAAGGATCAGAGAGAAATAAATGAAATAGAAACAAAGAAAACAATAACAAAGATCAATAAAACTAAAAGCTGGTTCTTTGAGAAGATAAACCAATTGATAAACCATTAGTCAGACTCATCAAGAAAAAGAGGAAGAGGCTTCAAATCAATAAAATTAGATATGAAAATAGGAGAAGTTACAACAGACACCACAGAAATACAAAGCATCCTAAGAGACTACTACAAGTAAATCTATGCTAATAAAATGGACAGGGCTTCCATGGTGGCACAGTGGTTGAGAGTCCACCTGCCGATTCAGGGGACACAGGTTTGTGCCCCGGTCCAGGAAGATCCCACATGCCGTGGAGCAGCTAGGCCCATGAGCCATGGCTGCCGAGCCTGCGTGTCCAGAGCCTGTGCTCTGCAACGGGAGAGGCCACAACAGTGAGAGGCCCGCGTACCACAAAAAAAAAAAAAAAAAAAAAAAAAAAAAAAGACAACCAGGAAGAAATAGAAAATATGAATAGTCCAATGACAAGTAATGAAATTGAACCTGTGGTTAAAAATCTTCCAAAATATAAAACTCCAGGACCAGATGGCTTCACAGGTGAATTCTATCAAACACTTAGAGGAGACCTAACACCCTTCCTTCTCAAACTCATCCAAAAAATTGCAGAGGAAGGAAAACTCCCAAACTGATTCTATGAAGCCACCATCACCCTGATACCAAAACCAGACAAAGATACTACAAAAAAAGAAAATTACAGACCAATATCACTGATGAATGAACATGCAAACATCCTCAACAAAATACTAGCAAACAGAATCCAACAGCACATTAAAAGGATGATACACCATGATCAAGTGAGATTTATCCCAGGGATGCAAGGATTCTTCAATATACACAAATCAATCAATGTGATACACCATATTAACAAACTGAAGAAGAAAAACCATATGATTATCTCAATAGATGTAGAAAAAGCTTTTGACAAAATTCAACACCCATTTATGATAAAAACTCTCCAGAAGGTGGGCATAGAGGGAAATTACCTCTACATAATAAAGGTCATATATGACAAACTCACAGCACAGTTCATTCTCAATGGTGAAAATCTGAAAGCATTTCCTCTAAGCTCATGTATAAGACAAGGATGTCCACTCTCACCACTATTATTCAACATAGTTTTGGAAGTCCTAGCCACAGCAATCAGAGAAGAAAAAGAAATAAAAGGAATACAGATTGGAAAAGAAGAAGTAAAACTGTCACTCTT